ATGATGGATATGTACACCTGGTTACATTTTCAGACAAAAATGAAGTAGTAGCAGCATCGGTAGAAGACCTTTTGGCCTGTGAACATAGTAACTCTAAAAGTATTGTAGAAATCTTTTTCAAATGGCAGGGTTGTCAATCTGCAATTTTGAGACTGATCGCCCCAAAACTCAAGCAGTGCCAGCCACATAGTGATAGCAATAAAAGGGTAATTTCAAGCATTTCATCATATTATCAAGATAACTTAATGTATTTCACTGATCTTTTTTAATATTTGTAAACATGCTGTAACTTTAAAGATCTGGACCTAATCAAATTTTGAGACAAATCACATCAGAATTGAAGCAGCACTGCATAGTGACAGCAAAGAGACAGATGAGATGATTTAAGGCTTATCCTTGTGGAGAGGATCAATCTGTTTGTCATTATTTACTTTATATATTACCATCACAAAAACATTACATGGATGAGAAAATACACCTAAAAATATACATATTAGGGCTGTCAAACTTAACGGGTTAATGCGAATTAATCCATCATCATGATTAATCTGATTAAATTTTTTAACGCAATTAACCCATCTGCAGCGCAGAATGACTCAAAATCCCTGAAATGTCTCTGTCAACCCATTTCGGGCAGTTTTGGTGCGTTCCATTTGCCCTCGGAACTCGTATTCTGAGTCTGATTCCGAGTTTTGAAGCCTGAAGTGACAACATGCTTGTTCCTGAGAAATATCCGAGAAATATCTCAGGCAGCACAGAGGATCCCGAGTTCAGAATCCAAGATGGCTGCGCCCTTTATCAACTGAAGGGAAAGTTGTAGTTTTATACTGTTTAAGCACTACTAAGCAAAAAATCTTTTTGATATGGGTCCATGGTATTGCACTTCTGTGGCAGATGGAATGCATCCGACTTGTGTTCAAGATGTTCAATAAACATGTTAAGTGAATATATATTCCCTTTTTTCTTGAGTCTGTTTGCTGAAGCAAAATGAAATGCGATTAATACAGATTAAAAATGAATGATATTTAATTGTGATTAATCTAAATTAATCCACACTGTGATTAATCTGATTAAAAATTTTAATTATTTCATAGCACTACTTTAATTATAATTATACTTGAGTACTACAGTGGTGCTTGAAAGTTTGTGAACCCTATAGAATAGTCTACATTTCTGCATAAATATGACCTGAAACATCATCAGATTTTCACACAAGTCCTCAAAGTAGATAAAGAGAACCCAGTTAAATGAGACAAATATTTAATTTGGTCATTTATTTATTGAAGAAAATGATCCAATATTACATATCTGTCAGTGGCAAAAGTATGTGAACCTTTCATTTCAGTATCTGCTGTGACCTCCTTTTGCAGCAACAACTGCAACACAATGTAAATAATTGACAAAGTGAAATATTTTGTCTCATTTATTTAACTGGGTTCTCTTTATCTACTAATATTAGTGCAGAAATGTAGACAATTTTATAGAGTTCACAAACTTTCAAGCACCACTGTAGTTTACTGGATGACTTTTACTTGAGTAACATTTTGCTGTGGTGTCTCTACTTTCACTTAAGTATGAAAACAGTACTTTTTCTACCACTGGTTGAGGCATTGTAAAGAGCACTTTTGAACATAGTCTACATAAACAATGGGCACTTTGGAAATGGGAAGTGACACCTTTAAAATAGCTTATCCTAGAAGGCATTTGTCCAATTGTTTTATGAGGCTATTGGGCATATACTAAATAGGGATATCCTGATTCACTTTTTGGGTACCCCAATCTGATCCATTTGATATTTATATCTGCCGATTCCAAGTTCTGATCAGTCCATTAATAAAATTTTAAATACACATGCAGTAGGCATTGGTTCATTCGTTGTCTGAGGAAGCCTTGCACTTTTGCAGTATTCTTCCCTATTACTGTATGTGTTTCCAAGTGCCTAATTAAATTTGTTCTATTAAATGATGCTCTGCTGTTACCTCCTCTCTAAAACATGGCATTGCAATCACTGCAGGTAACTGTTGGGCTACTTTGAGTTTCAAAAAAGTTGGGATGGGGGCAATAGGAGGCTGGAAAAGTTAGTGGTACAAAAACCCAACAGCTGGAGGAACAATTTGCAAATAATTAGGTCATTTGGCAATAGGTCAGTAACATGACTGGGTATAAAAAGAGCGTCTTAGAGTTGCAGTGTCTTTCTGAAGTAAAGATGGACAGAGGATCACCAATCCCCCTAATACTGCATCGACAAATAGTGGAGCAATTTCAGGAAAAAAGTTCATTGGTGTAAAATTGCAAAGAGGCCAAAAACATCATCATCTACAGTACATAATATAATCAAAAGATTCAGAGAATCTGGAGAAATCTCTGTGTGCTAGGGACAAGTGTTCTGGATGCCCATGATCTTCGGGCCCTTAGGCAGCACTGCCTCACAAATGGGCATGATTCTGCAATGTAAATCACTAAATGGGCTCAGGAATATTTCCAGAAAACGTTATCAGTGAACACAATTCACCATGCCATTCAAAGATGCCAGTTAAAACTCTATCATTCAAAGAAGAAGCTGTATTTGAACATGATCCAGAAGCACTGATGTCTTCTCTGGGTCAAAGCTCATTTAAAATGGACTGTGGCTAAGTGGAAAACTGTTCTGTGGTCAGACAAATCTAAATTTGAAATTCTTTTTGAAAACCAGGGATGCCGTATCATCCAGACTAAAGAGGAGATGGACCACCCAGTGTGTTATCAGCGCTCAGCTCAAAGGCCAGCATCTCTGATGTATGGGGGTGCATTAGTACGTATGGCAAGGGCAGCTTGCATATCTGGAAAGGCACCATCAGTTCTGAAAGGTATATCCAGGTTCTAGAGAAACATATGCTGCCTTCCAGACGGCATCTCTTTCAGGGAAGACCTTCCATTTCTAACATGACAATGCCAAACCACACACTGCATCAATTACAACATAATGGATTCGTAGAAGAAGGGTCCAAGTAATGAACTAGCCTGCCAGTGGTCCAGATCTTTCACTGATTGAGAACTTTTGGCGCATCATAAAATGAAAATTACGACACAGAAGACCTAAGACAGTTGAGCAACTAGAATTCTGTATCTGACAAGAATGGGAAGAATTCCTCTCCCAAAACTCGAGCAACTGATCTCCTCAGTCCCCAGACGTTTACAGACTGTTGTTAAAAGAAGAGGGGATGCCACCCAGTGGTAAACATGGCCTTGTCCCAACTTTTTTTGAGACGTGTTGATGCCATGACATTCAAAATTACCATATCTTTTCCTTAAAATGATTTCTCAGATTAAACAATTTATATGTTTTCTATGTTTTGTTATGAATAAAATATGGGTTTATGAGATTTCCATATCATTGCATTCTGTTTTTATTTACAATTTGCACAACGTCCCAACTTCATTGGAATTGGGGTTGTATTATTAGTGCTAGACTTACTCTTAGTGTCAGTTTAAACAGTTCTGTGTTATGGAGGTAACTCAAAGTAGTGTCCTATGAAGAGGAGGGAGTTGTGGTGGCTAAGGTCCCAGTAAAGTGTTTTGGGCATGTGTCATTAGCAGACCCATGACACGCTAGAGGCATTATGGTTTTAAATCAGAGCTAGATAAGATTTTAACAACTCTGAGCTATTAGTTAAGTTCTCCCCAAACGAACTTGATGGGCCGAATGGCCTCCTCTCATTTGTAAATTTCTTATGTTCCCAGCTGGTTTAGACATACAGTGGTACCTCAGTTCTCAAACTCATTAGAACTCGAATTTCTTAAAAGTTGAACTAACCAGTTCGAAAAAAATTTACCTAGAGCTTGATCTGAATATCAGAAGTCAAACCGTGAACGCCGACCTAAGATAACTTGTACGCGCGGAGAAATGAGTCACGTGGCACGTCTCTCAGTGGAAACAAGGGGTAAAGCTTCAGTCTCAGCCTCGCATTCGCTGTGATAGCATTGTGCATGTTTACACTAGCTGAATACATATATTTACACAGTAAAAATACATTTAGACAATAATAGACAGTAACAGTAATTATTATTATATAATAAAATACATTTAAAAATAAAGCATATTTAGGTGTATTTTTTTGGGGGGCCTGGAACCAATTAATTAGTTTTCCATTATTCCTTATGGGGAAAATTCGATCAGAACTCGAACTCTTTAGGATTCGATCCAGAGTTCTGAACGGATTAAGTTCGAGTTCTGAGGTACCACTGTATCTGGAGAACCTCCACAAAGAGCTAGAGTCTGTGTCCTTGGAAAGGGAGATCTTTTCTGATTATGCTAGATGTGCTGACACCTTAATTCTTACAAGGAGATGGTTTTTGAGGATGGATGTAGATTAACATCATACCCAGAATAAAGCAGTTGCAGTTTAAGGCACTCCTGGCATTCACAGGATTCAAACCAGCAGCCTTCTGATTACTGGCACAGAGCCCTCTCTATGAATTGTCTGTTATTTTTTTTAGTAGACAAGCTTTTTACACTTTGTCCCTAATATAAATTTGAAATATGTTCTCATGCTGTATATAGTACTGGGGCCTGTTTCACGAAGCAGGATTACTTGCTTAGCCAGATAACTTGCCAGATTTAAGGTAGTCTGGGCTACATAGACCTTATTTTCATCAACTTACATTTAGCCCAGACTACCTTAAATCTGGCAAGTTATCTGGCTAAGCAAGTAATCCTGCTTTGTGAAACAGGCCCCTGGTAAATAGAGGGGTCGTTTTGACAACCATCCAATATGTATCAGGTCTGTTTTTATTTGTTTGTTTTGTTTTTAGTTTATATTTTATGGCATGTTTGCATTTCATTTGAATGCACATCTTTCTAAAATGAAAATTAATTGAGGTAAAATGCATTTTAAGTGCATGTGTATTTTTATATAAATTCCAATCCAGTGTTCCAATGAAAATGTCCTCACATTGATTGATTCTTGTTGTTTTTATCTTGATATACTTATTTTTACTGACTGATTCCCTCCCCCCACCAGTAAACCACATCCAGTTTGTCCTGCAGATATGGAACCTTTATTTGAAGACAAGGTAATGTTGTCATCTCTTTTTGTATGTTTTTTCTGCTCTTAATAAAAGCTGATTCTGAAATTAGGAGTCTTCGTTCATGCATGCAATTAAAAAAAACTCATAGCTGTGCACTTTTTTTCACTACAGGCTGGGGTTTTGGGCACCCTTATGCCAGATACACCAAAATATGGACATGTCACATGTAAATTACCTTACACACATTCTGCCACTGACTTAATTACATTTTCCACTACGTGCTCTGGAGAGATGTATTAAGTCACGCATTAAATGTAATATTACAGATTTCAGAAAGCTAAGCGTGTAACAACAAATGCATTGTGAAATAATAATCTTTCTGTGCCAACTCTGATTTGAACCATTATGGCACATGATTTGTTCTGTATTTTCGTACATGTTTGTTTCATACATACACTATGTCAGAAATCCCTAAAAGAAATACACCATATCAATTAGTTAGCCATTTTTGCTTGTTTACAGAATTGTTTTGAATGAAGAGGACAATAAAAGCACGAGGCCAAAAAATATATGGGTTCGTTCTTAAACACAGTATCGGTCATTCTCACAAGTTAAAACCGATATTGTACGGTAGTCATCTAATTTTTTAATTTAGTTTGAAGACACTAAAATTATACAACTTCATTGTCTTGCATCAGACTATATTTATTTCTGTAACAAGTATATTTCATCAAATCCAAAGAAACAGTTGGTGGGGGAAAATTGATTTAAAAAAAAATCAACAAAATATATATAGTACTGTGCAAAAGTCTTAGGCAGTCCAAAGAAATGTTTAAAGCTGTTTATCTGGGTAGCAAGTGTACTTTGGCTTAGAAAAAAAGCACAATTTAACATTAGAACATGTGCAAATGTTAAATTGTGCAAATTACGAGTAACACAATAAAAACTAGTAATAATTTCTTCTGTTTTCTAAAAAGTTACTGATATCTAATTGGATGGCTAGATGAACACTGCTTCAGTTCCCAAACTTCTCCTCGGGGGCACCTCAGCCGTTCCATGATTTTGTAAAATTTCACCAACAGCTCAATTAAATAATTGAATAAATTGGTTTGAAAAGTCAGTGACAGATTGACTAGCTGTATGAGGTGCGCTAGTGTCCAAGTCAAAAAATACATGGCTACACTGGACGGTCGCTGCAAATACAGTGGTACCTCAGAACTCAAACTTAATCCGTTCAGAACTCCGGATCGAATCCTAAGAAGTTTGGGTTATGATCGAATTTTCCCCATAAGAAATAATGGAAAACCAATTAATTGGTTTCTTTCCCCAAAAAATTACACCTAAATATGTTTTTTTTAGCATTTAAACACAAAATGAACCAGAAAAAACAAGAAGAGCATATACTGTACTAAACACATCTAAGGACATTTATCAAAAAAGTAATTTGTAAAGTAAGAAAATAAATATATCCAAACAATGTGTCCTGCCCTGATCGTCTGCTCCTTCCGTGTGCCATGCCCCCTCATTAACCCCGTGTGGAATCCCCGTGTGATCAGCTGTTTCTGGTTGTTGTCATGAGTCCTCCGTATTTCGTACGCGTTTCAATTTGTTTCCCCAGTCCGGTCATTGTATTGTCATGTTTGATGTTCGATGCGTGCAGGCAAGCGAGTGGGGAAGCAGGCGAGTAGAGCTGGTAATACGCACAAACGGGGTTTATTAAGGGATCCGGGCAGACATCGAACATCAAACATGACAATACAATGATAGAACTGGGGAATACTGACTGAGACACGGACTAAATACTCAAGACAGGCTGAACTGAACAAGCAACAGGTGATCACAATCAGGAAGTTACACGAGGTAACGAGGGGGGCGTGGCACCCACGAGGATCTGACGAGCCGGGAGTGACAGACAGGCATAATATCATAGTTTTACACCAACACGAGGATAATCTAAACATAATTTTCTTTGCCTGCCTAAGACTTTTGCACAGTACTGTACATCTTATTATACAAATGTATTGCCTATTGTGGGTAACATACAATAAATGTGAAAGATTAGAAAAATATATCCATTTTTGTGTGTGGAGAAAATGGTTGAGGAAACATTAAATTAGAGCTGCAAATTACATAATTTTAATACACCTATTAAGGTAATGCCAGTTCCTCTGTACAAAATTCAAGCACTGTATTTTATTGTAACATTGTTTTTTGTCGAAGGATTTCATGTTCTTGAAAATGACCAAATATAGACATAGTAGTCTACCACCATACCTTCATTTTCAAAATAAAAGGGTTTTTGTTGATTTCAGTTAGGTTCACGGTGTAAATTAATGAGTCCAAGACTTCTTACTCAGCCAGGCCTTCTTTTTCAAGTTAAGCACAGTGGACGTGACTGCGCTAATGAGGGAAGAATACACATAACTCAGAAGCATGTAACTTTTTAAGAGCTATTTTGACTTACATGCCTGGTGGAAAAATAGATCCTTTAGTTATTAAATCTGAGGCACTTTTGTTTCAGATATTTCGGGATGTATGCTGTAACCGAGAAATTATGGCACTGAAGGTCTACTGCCGGAGTGAGAAAAATGGCTGCAAAGAGCAAATGATACTACAACAGGTCATGGTGAGTGTTTAGCTAAGTTCACACTTCATGATTTTAGTCCTGATTTTCTTGCTGACAGTTCTTGGAGATCGCCGACAAAACCCCCAGATTGGAGGCAAATACGTGTTCGATCTGTGCTGGCAAATAGATACTGAGGGCTTTGTGTAATGCCGGTTATGGTGATTATACTGTTAATATGTCTTAATTACAGGGTATACTGAAATGATGAAACAGATCACAGTAAAAATATTCATATCAATGCATAACTGAAACTAGATACTACAAAACTACAAACAAAATGAAGGAACCTGTGGATCCATAAAGGGTTTACACTGCAGAAACTCCTGTTGCTTTTTGGTTTCAGTTATCAGCTTCATACTTTCCATGTATGTGACTCTCTTCATAATAATTTTTCATATAGCTTTCACACAAGCATCTTATTAGTCTCCACAAATTGTCTCCAGCATGCTACTTTCAATTTTCAAATTTTCACTTTTGGACTAGAAGGCAATTCTGCATGCCAGAAAATAGGAGTGGGGGGAAATCGATTTAGTTACAAATAATGAATCTTCAAGGTGGAGAGTTATAAACCGATTTTTTAATCAATCAGTTTAAACGTTGTTTGCTATAATTATGTTGGTCACATTTGTTACTGACAATATATTTTCCTAGGTACAAATGCCCAGATTTTAAGTGACTTGCGTACTAATGAACAAGTATGTTCAGAGTATGTTCCAATTTAAAATCCAAAATCTGGGCAAAACATGGGTAAACAGATATTTAAAGATGAGTATGGCTATCTGCTTGGGTTCAGGGTTTGGTACAATTTCAGTACAGCAGAGAAACAATTTTTTAATCATTTGTTATTAAAACTGGAAAGACAAGTAGGAACCATTGTAAACCAAACATAAGGCAAAAGGTACTTTCCCACCACAGGAACCTTTTTCAGGAACTACCAGGGGAGCTCTATTGATTTCCCTGATTGTAATTATTGAGGTAGCTCCTGAATCTTCTTAGTCTCTACTCAAGAATAGATACTTTTCACTCAACCAAGACCTACTGGGTAGGGCTAAACTTCGAAGTTACATGGAAGTGCAAGGTAAAGAGGTAGAAGTAGTGGAGCAAAAAATTTAATTCAATCAATAACTAAACTATACTTCTATCTGTTATCGGCAGTGCTTATTAGTGGAATAACGGTATATCATATTTTATTTTGTGGAAATCAAATGATTGATCTGCTGGTCAGAATGAATAAGGAGTTATAATCGTATTGCAGACCGTATAAATAAACTGCAATTTGTCTCATATATTTGGACCACACACCTGATCCCTCCAATAACTCGCAAAATGACTTGTTTATCCTCCACTCTTTTGGGGGTGGCAGTGTAGTTTTGTATTAATTAATCACAAACTTAGTGTTGGTTGCATACTGATTTACGTCCGTTCATTAATGAATTTGTGAAGTCTTTTGTCTCAAGCAGTTACTATGTTTATTACTGTATCTGTAAATTCTGTAAACCTCTGTGACAACTAAAGGAACAAGTAATGAACAACACAAGTGATATACTGAGCTAATGTTTTTTCATCATTAATGAATTATGATGCATCTTTTATCTCAAGTACTACATTTGTTCATGATTTGTACTGTAAATATTTGTACCTCCTCAAGTATTACCAATATTATTTGGTCTACAGTTTGTCATTATAGACAGTTTATTTCTGAAATGCGAATTGGTTCCTATTAGGGATGTAACGATAAACGTAATATTGCGAGAACGTGATAAAAAATACCTCGAAACCGTTGTCGGACTGTTACGATATCAACCCAGATATCACATGGTTATTTCACTCGTATAAGCTCTATCTCAAAAAATACATACTACATTAATGAATGCTTTGTGCTCTATTGATTGTGTGTAACCCACATTAAATCCATTACAAAACAACTATTATGACAATAATAAAATTGGTCAAATAGAGACAAAAAAACATTTACGGTATATTAACAAAACGAAAATTTAAGAATAAAGACGATTGTATGCAGATTGTGAGGTGATGTCACGAAGTATCATAGAGAGCGTGGGTTGTTTTTTTGCAGAAGTGATTGAGGCTGGCTGCAGCGAGTGCTGCTATAGGATTTAGAATACGGTAAAAAGAAAACTTCCTAAACTTGATTTTACAGCTTATGTGGTGTAAGAAGATTTTTTTTTAATTAACTAAAGGAAGATGGAAGAAATGTTTTATACCACGATAAATTGTTTTTTTTATGCGCTACATTGACACTTTCGAAGATTTGGAACGGATATTTCTGCATGTGCTTTGCTGAACAGAGACCCACCAAATGGAGTTCATAGCAGGATGGTGAGCTAGACCCATGAAGCAACTGTGTTGGATGAGTAGAGGGAACTTTGAATTTCTTACAACGTGTGCAGTTTAGGATATGATGGACTGAATTGAACTGTATATTAACCATTTGACATTGTTATGCCTGAATTGAACGGTATATTCAGCGTGTTGTATGGGCGTGGTCTATATTTCACGTGGTGAAAACAGACCCAACGGAAAAATGGCAGAAAACACTACTTTGGAATTGCAGATTGTTTTGATTAAAAGATCCAGCTGCTGCTGGAACTACTGACTGTGTGGTTTGGTTTTATAATTACATGCATTGTTCAGTCATTCATTGCAAAGGACAATTACTGCTAAGTTCTGGCAAAGGCTTAAGGTCATAGCTGGATATTTCACTAATGAAGAAAAGCCGAAGCACTTTATGTTAAAAGGAAGGATTAATTTCATAGAAATAAACATGTTGGTTATTAATTATTAAAAGAGTTTACTCTTTTAAAATATCGTGATAATTATCGTATTGTGGACATTTTTTTGTGATATCATACCGTGAGTTTTTGGTATCGTTACATTCCTAGTTCCTACACAATGGTAAATAAAAATTATTATTCATTCTTTATTGATCTCTGTGGGGAAATTATCTTCATGCCTCCTGTAGGTGAGAGCAAGTTGGCTGTGAAGGGTAGCCACCTGTTGTGGCACTCAGAAAGCTGAGGGTTAAGGGCCTTGCTCAAGGACCTGCAGATGTTCTTACACTGTTCTTATTTCGATCGGCGTGAGTGCTTGCCTGTCTTGTCTGTTAATTAACAGCACAATTATTACCGACAGTGAGCTGCGGGTGTCCCGTGAGCGGCGTTTTCTGTCCGCGTTTAACTCCGTAAAACAAACACCCGTGGGGCGATAATAACTAATAATATCTAATATATCTAACGTCGGTATCGTTACCCAGCGCCGGAAAAGGACAGTTGCTCCTGAGCTTTGCTCGGTCGCCAGTCGGGGCCGGGAGGACATTTTCCACTTTTTTCCCGCTCCGGCAGTAGCCTGCTGTGAGGGGGTTTTTGTGGTTTTTCGACCTCCCAAGAGCAACTTCGATTTCGCCTTGTTTTTAGTTCATACTTGTTTCAGGCAGAAGTTCTTCTGGTAATTAGTAGTAAATTTATCAGGTTTAAATTTTTTTTAATAAAAATAATAATTAAGTTCTGTTTTAACACAAGTAATATCTTATTTTCGTGTACTCGGCACTTTACTGCATTTATCGTTACGCAAATTAATCTTTAAAGTTAAATACACTATATAAATTTACTGGGCTGGGAGTACGGGGTCATATTGAGTTAGTTAATTATGGGGCCGGCTCAGTGTTGCGTTTGCAAGATGTTTGCCCTTCTGGACGTTAGTGTCCAGTCGGACTTCATCTGCGAGCGATGTAAGGTAGTGGACTCACTCATGGTCAAGGTTCGCGACCTTGAGGAGCAACTGGCTCTCATCCAATGCAACAGTGAGTTAGAGGAGCTAGTTAATACGCCGTTTAGGGAGATGGTGTGTACGCCACTAGCGGGGAGGAGGGAGAATGAAGAGCAGAGATGTCGAGAGACCTGGGTGACCGTAGGTCGTAGACGCAGAAAAAGGCGTACACACGTTACAGAGGCGGCATCACCTGAGGTGTCTGTGTCTAACAGGTTTCAGGTGCTTCCAGCTTTAGAGCCAGAAGGGACTGGGGAGGCAGGTGGGCCCTTGGGCACTGAGGAGCCCTCTCCCCCCAGGAAGAGGGAGGTTGTGGTAGTGGGGGATTCATTTATTAGGGGAGTAGACAGTTATGTGTGCATGCATGATAGAGGGTCCCGTACGGTGTCTTGCCTGCTTGGTGCCCAGGTAGGAGATCTTCCAGATCGTGTGGACAAGCTTTTGGCCCCA